CTTATTCACTTCCCTGAGACATAAACCAGCAAGTGCACCCGTAATTTCCACCAACCATAGAGAATAAAAAGTGTTCCAGTTGACGCTAAAATTCACTTATCAAACTTAGTCGAGATTAAATAAACAGTTGAAAATCCAGAAAGTGACGGGGCTGTTGGAGCGAAAGCCCCATGTTGCAATCCAGCTATGCTGCCGCCTTAGCGCCCCACAGGCCTTCCCCAACAGCGGCAAAAACGAAGCAAAAAGATTTCAAAACGCATTTTAATGTCATATGACTGTTACAATAAAGATCCCAGCTGACAGTGTGCCTCAGGGGTTCCTGGTGGTGTCTACGAGCAGCATTCCGGCGTTCTGTTTGTGCATGTGGAAGAGACGAAATGAATCTTGATGTGCGCGAAATTCGCGGTAAAATCCACCATTTTAAAGTCGGAGTTTGCTCAATGTACTGTTTCTGCTCACGTTTCTCGGTTTTTGTACTCTTTGGGACAGTCCTTCGAGCATATGAAGCGAACGTCGGGTACTTGACAAGGATGACAATGTGTCTGGTATTCAGCCATTTTGTCTTCACCCAGGTCCCCGTAGTAAATCTTCATATATTAATTAGCGCCCAGTTCCTTCATACGGGGCCTCACCGTTTGCACCGGTGCGCCTGCGTAGGTGTGCATCAGCCCTCCAAGCTGAAAGCTTTTCAAAGGCTGAAGCCTCATGGATGGGCGTACAAGAGAATGCCGGTGCCCTTTGGTGCTCGACGGATGTGTAGAGCAATAGCATTTGCTGCAGTTCAGCTTAGTGGCACTACAGATCTACGGAGTGGTCAGCATCATTGCCGTTCGCTCATTTGATTAGCCTTTGCTTTTTGTGCAGCAAAGTCGGCTATCTCATAGTTTTGCTAGACAGTAGCGCTGCGGGCTACAGGCCGAAAGCAAATAGGTGAATCTGTGTGGGCTTACAGCGCGTACACCTGGCAATGGAGGGCTGGCGAGTAGTTCCCCGCTTCTGCGCCATCTTTCCTGGCGAAAAGGACATAAATAGATTTCAGTTCGGGTGCACTGCTTGTTCCACGCCCCTTTTTGAAAAAAAGGGATTCTGTAGGTTCGTTGTGTCTCAAATGCACAGAAACAATGGGCTGGGTGAGGCCCGTTTGCCCACGGGCTTTGCCCAGCCCATCTTTGCCTTCAAATTGTTTGCTGCCCGTTTTGCCGGCTGTAAATGTGGCGCTGCTGCTGCGCCTGAGGGTCGCGCCTAAATGGACTGTCGCGGTGAAGTTGAAATGCGAAATGCGCTGTTTCCTTTGTCCCCGACTTATGCTGGCAGTTGAAGTTCAACTTGGAATTCAATGTTCGATACATGAAAAAAAATTTTCCTCTGCAAATTCAAGAAGCAGGCGCCAAGCCGGCGCCTGCTTCTTGAATTTGCAGAAGGGGAGAGTTCATCTACGCGGCGGCGCCGCCGGGCCGCCTGCTCTAATTCTTTGGAGTTCAACTTATTGGGCACTTTCGAGGGTTTATCATTTGCCTGGAGGAGCCACTGGCCGGGCGGGAATGGCGCGGTTGATGCTGCCGATGATGAAGTGCTTCGCCGACAGCAAAGTTGTGAAAAGATTGTCTACACTGTTGCGCACTCCTGTGGCTTCATCGAGAAGAGCCCTCAGCGACAACTTCTTCCCCCCAGACTCTAACATGACTGTGTCGGAGAAGGGCGCGCTGGGGGGCGCTAGTTGAATAATTTGGTTCAAAAGGGCAACCACCCCGTTCAGGAAGTCCATCACCTTCACAAGTTTCTTCATCGCCTTGTACTGAAACGCAAGCCAAAATGGGGAAAACAGAGAATAAAAAGTCAATAAAACGATATAAAGTACTGTTAAAATGCCTAATACAGATTAATGTAGGTCTTTGGCAGCAAAGATCAGCAAAGCTAGAGGGCATTCCGTGTGCAGGTAAAGCTTACGCTTTGGGAAGTTGCCTTTTCGAAGGAAGTTCTTATGAACTTGGACTGCTCTTCAGGGCTGGTGAGGAGGTTTTCGGAATGTGGATGTTGCAGCCCCCTTTTCTTTTCTTTTTTCCCTTCTTCTTCTCCCCCTTTCTTCTCTTTGTGGCCCTTCGCCCCGCCTCCCTCCTTCTCGTGTTCATGGGCTTCTCCTCCCTCTCCTTTGCCCGCCTCCTCCTTGCCCTTGCCTGCGCCTTCGGGTTTGGGGTGGCCTCCTGGGGGGTGGCCGCCTCCGTGGGCTTCGGCTTTTTCTTCTTCTTTTTTCTCTTCTTTTCCTTTTCCTTTGTCTTCGTCTTTCTCGTCGTCGTCATCGTCGCTGTCGTCGCTGTCTTCGTCTCCAGAAGCCTCCACGAAGGAGCTTTCCTGACTGTCGAAGATCGGAGGCTGCAGCTGCATGCTGCCTTCGTCTGCGTCGTACGGCGACAGAGAGGTTGCTTGGGAAACTGCTTCTTTGCGCGTCATCTCCATGGGCTGAGAGCCTTGATAAGATGCTCTTCTTCCCACCATAAACCCGTGGGTTTCTCCGCCACTTAGCGCCAACACTGCTGCGCACATAGACAGTGCGTTCACTGGCCTGTAGCTCTGCATCTTGGCAGAGGAGGGCAGCCAATGCACCAGACGCCTGAGAACCACTCAGAAGGCAGCTTCTTTGACCCAGGTTGTGCCCTTTTCAATACTTCAGTCCCTACAGGCTATTCATAAATGAGTAAAACCGTCTCAGGTTTCTCCAGAAGCCGCGAAGTCGATCAATATCTTCGAGGTGCGGAGGCCCCGAAACCCAGGCACTGCACAGACGGACCCGTGGCAGAGAAAATAACAGAATCTAAAGAGCCTCGCCAATCAAAGGAATTCAAGAGGACTTCGACTGTGGCCTTTTCAGGCCTGCAAGCTCCAGGCTGTCCGCAGTCAGCCGTCTCTGTCTGAAGTGGGGCTCATGGGAAGAGGGCCAGTCAAACGTCCCTCTTGTATGTTCAATATAAAACGAGCTCTCAGCTAGTCTTCCACGCAAGTTTATCTTTGAATATTCAAGTATGGTGGAAACAAAAGGTACTTTTGGGACCTTTTGTTGAGGCAGCCACACAACCAAGTCAACTGACCAGGGCCGAGGCCACTGCCGCAAGCTACAGTCACAGCTGGCGGGTTGTCCGCCGCAACTCGGGTTCTCATCCACTAAATGCCTTACTTATACAGACATTTAGATGTACTGCATTTATTTTGGCAACATTTTCTTAGGGAACTACTCAGATCTGCCAGATTTCATGAATCGGTTCGGCGCCGGTCTGGCTGCTGCGGAGATTGAACGGCATTCGGTACGCCAGCTGGATGACGCTCTGCGCTGCTGCGGTTAACTACGTGCAAATTTAACTTCCTTCGTAAATAAACAGTTAAGTAAAAACACTTTTTTTAGAGTAAAGAAGGAATGCATTTGTATTATCACCGCGAGACAGCGGCTCCCGCACAGCCCTGAGCAGCCTACTGTCCACTGCAGGCCTCTACAGCTACCAAAGACGACAGTAACTTCGTATAAGGCACAATACTTAGTTAATACACTAAAGTCAATAGAGGAGCTGCAGCGTCCAGCACGAGCGATAGTTCCCCCCGCATAATTGTGAAGGACCAGCAAGCGCCGAAGGACTTTGGATGGCGGCGAAAGCAGTAATGCTTCCACTTCCATGTCTCTGGCTCCCGACAGAGAAGCACTCAGCTAGAGCTATACTCGCACTCGAAAAATTAAAAGGCTAATTCGTGCCATCGCCACGTTCTCTTCTGATAGTACCTCCAAAAGCTTTATACCCGATCTCTGGCCTACACAGCCTGGCTATGCCCGCTTGAAGTGCCATTCACTCTAACTGCCAACTAGTCAGGCCAACTCTTCCTTCCTTATTGTAATTTCACTGCAAGCGGCATCTTGAATATGCCTCCTCCGCAGTCTTAGCTAGTTTACACAACTCGATAAAGCTAGTGTGTGCAAGATTTCAGGCTTGATGAAAAGCGAGTCTCTCAGACGGTACTCCGCGTCCCAATGCGGAGAAGACAAAACAAGTTGGACAAAACCAATAGGCGACCACTAAAAGATCACGGGAGTGATGGCCGAGCCGCCCCATGGCAGAAAAAGATTACTGCACCTCATCAAGAGCACTGGTGCCGAAATATGCAAGTTGCCGTAGGTTGCGGCTGGTACAAGAGGGGAAGCACTTGCCCACTTTCCAAGTAAATGTCCCACATAAGTCCTTCACACACAGGCATTGTGAAGCAATGTAGTGTTTCCCCTCTGAATTTCTCAATTCCGGTAAGTGAGGCAAGGCTTTCGGCCTTGATTCCTCTAGATCTCGCAGCTCTTGGCATGCCGCACAACGCTAGATTCAAGGCCTTGCTTTAGGACACACGCGAAATTGTATTTCCAAGGAAACCCAGTGAGAGCCTCAATCTTCACGGAACTGCCATAGCTTCTGTGCGCAGATATTCCTGTTTGCTTCGGAAAAAACAAGTGTTCTCAGGAAGAAACAAGTCATCACGGGTGATCATAAAAGCACAGCAGCTTCGCCTGGCGAAACAGCCCAAAAGCTGCAAAGCGAACACCCCAAAAAGCACCCACATGCTCCTCTTCAGAACCCATGCCTCAGTTTCCTGAAAGACACGATGGATCACCCTGTGCAGCAGCTCGAGTCGGGTGGAATCCATCCAGAAAGAGTGTTCACATCAACGAACCGGACCATTCCGGGTAGCTGGCCAGAAAGTGGATGAAACATGACGGGGAAACCACGTAAAAAGCGTGTGATTCGGGTGGCTGCTGCGAACCCTGGTCCAGATACTAGCAAATGCACCCACGAAGTGAAGTCCTGTAAAGCAAAAGCTCGCTATAGAGCCTACTCTAATAAGTGCAAAAAGCGTGCTTCCGCACGTTACGAGTGTGCCGCAGGCGCCTGCTCCGCTGCCTTCTTGATTTGACATCGAGGGCTGCACCTCGACTGCTAAATGTGGCATCCAGCTGAAGAGCCTCAATGAAATCCGCCCTAAAGCCGTTTGTGCTTATTTGGCTGGCCGGGCCACTCAGGCGGGCGCGTAGACCCCAAGGGGGGCAACAGCCACGGCGGCTGTCCACTGCCGTCCTCAAAGAGCTCGTAAGCCCTCATTCCAGGCTCTCCTATTGGGAAATGAAATCCTGGAAAGCCAGAGTATTGGCCTTCCATGTCGAAGGGAAACACCGGAAACCCCTGGCTAGGCCCTGCAGCGAACCGAGTGCCCACTGGTGGCATCGAAGGATCCGAAGAGGCGAAGTGGCCATAGGCAATCGGCACTGCGCCTGAAACTCCTGAAGTGCCTTCAAGCAGCTGCGCTTGCGAACCTGAAGCCGCGGGACTTGGCCGTTGCGGCCGGCCCGGCGCCAGCAGCCCTGGGGGCCCCAGCGCCGCTGAGGCTGGGGCCCCCAGTGCTGCTGCTGCGGCTGGGGCCCCCAGTGCTGCTGCTGCGGCTGGGCCCCCCAGTGCGGCTGCTGCGGCTGGGGCCCCCAGCGCAGCTGCGGCTGGGGGCCCCAGCTGGACAGCTGGATGCGGGTCTGCGAGACTTGGCTCGCCGGCCGCGGGGGCCAGAAGGCTAGCTGAGGACATGCCGGGCAAACCCATTGATGACGGCTTCTGCGGGAAAGCCTGCAGCAGGGCTTGCTGCTGGGGTTCTTGCAAGTAGTCTGGCGCTGCTAGCTGCGTCTTCTGGGCTATGCCCTGTGAAGCACCCTGCTGCTGCTGCTGGGGAAACTGGTGCGGATCTGCATGCCACAGTTGCTGCTGCGGGAACTGCGAAGGCAGCTGCTGCTGCTCCTGCGGCTGCTGTTGCTGTTGGGGAAAGTGCTGCGTAACTGTTTGCCACATCCGCTGCTCGGGAAACTGTTGCGGAGCTGATTGCTGCTGCGGCTGCTGGAGAAAAGCATGAGAAGGCAACCGCTGCTGCTCCTCGGGAATGTGCTGCAAAGCTGACTGTTGCTGCTGCTGCTGCAAAGATTGCTGCGAAAGTATTTGCTGCCGGGAAAGCCCCTGTGAAGCATATTGCTGCTGCAAGTGTTGTGGCAGATGATGCGGAACTCCCTCCTGGTGCTGCTGTTGCTGGTGTGCAAGATGCCCAGAAGACTGCTGCTGCTGCTGCTGCAAAAGCTGCTGCTGCTCCTGCAAGAGCTGTTGCGGAATTGATGGCTCTTGTTGCTGCTGCTGCAAAAATTGCTGCGTAAGTGACCGTTGATGCTGCTGCTGCTGCTGCAAAAGCTGCTGCGTAACTGCCTGTTGCTGCTGCTGCTGCAAAAGCTGCTGCATAACTGGCTGTTGCTGCTGCTGCTGCAAAAACTGTTGCGGACCTGTTTGTTGTTTTTGGAGGACAACATGTTGCGGAATCGGTGCCCCTACCTGTTGCTGGAAAACGGGCTGCGTAGTTCCCCGTTGCTGCTGCTGCTGCAGGGCAGGTTGCTGCAGAGTTGGGTGCTGCAGCTGCAGGGAAGGCTGCTGCACAGTTGGCTGCTGCAACTGCAGTGAAGGTGGCTGCATAGTTGGCTGCTGCAGCTGCAGGGAAGTTGACTGCATAGTCGGCTGCTGCAGCTGCAGGGAAGCTGGCTGCATAGCTGGCTGCTGCAGCTGCAGGGAAGATTGATGCAGAGCTGGCTGCTGCAGCTGCAGGGAAGACTGTTGCAAAGTTGACTGCTGCAGCTGCAAGGGAGGTTGCTGGAGAGTTGACTGCTGCAGCTGCAGGGATGTTGACTGCATAGTTGGCTGCTGCAGCTGCAGGGAAGGTTGCTGGAAAGTTGGCTGCTGCAGCTGCAGGGAATGCTGTTGGAGAGTTAGCTGCTGCTGCTGCAGGGAAGGTTGCTGCAGAGTCGGCTGCAGCTGCTGCTGCTGGAAAAATTTCTGAGAAACTCGCTGCTGCTGCTGCTGCTGCTGGATAAGCGGGTGTGAACCTGGAATTTGTATAAACGGCTGCGAAGTTGGCTGCACCTGCAGGGCCTGGAGTTCCAGGAAGTGCCGCTGCAGCCGTGTTTTGGGCTGCTGGCCCGGAAGCATCTGCTGGAACTGCTGCATCTGCCGGAGCTGCTCCTGCTCCTCCAGCTGCTGCAGCTGCTGCTGCAGCTGCTTCAGCTGCTGCTGGTGCTGGAGGTCCTGGAGCTGGTGGAGCTGCTGCTGCTGGAGCTGCTGGAGCTGCTGGAGCTGCTGGAGCTGCTGGAGCTGCTGGAGCTGCTGCTGCTTCTGCAGCAGCTGCTGCTGCTGGAGCAGGTGGGAACTGGGGGGTTGCGGAGCAGCGTAGGGCAGCCCCTCCTGCAGAGAAGGGGCCTCCTGGACGGCGGAGCAGACGGGCATGGTGGGAGGCAGCAGCAGCTGCTGCTGCTGCAGCGCAGCGGCGCCCTGAGAGTAGAAGTCGGCGGAGCCCGGAAGCACAGGGTTGAGGCCGGGGTGCCGGAGACGGTCGCCGCTGAAGCCCAGACGGCCCACGGTGATTTCGGGCAAGTTCGGGAGGCCCCCAGCCTTGCAGACGGCGCTGTTGAGCATGGCAATCAAAGCCCCGTCGGAAGGCAGGGGCTCGAAAGACTGGGAGATCTGCTCGAGAGGAATGACGAGCCAGGCGCCCTCGCGCTTCTGCGAGTCCACGATGCAGTAGCGAAGAATTCGGTCGCGGGCCACGTAGCCCGAGTGCTCCGCCAACAAAGCCTCGAGCACGGTGACCTGCTGGGCCACCACCTGCTCGAGGCGGCCTCTGGAAGCCACGGTGGCGAACTTGGCGAGCGCCAACAAAATGTACGACACGTAGTTCGCCACGGCCTTCATCGTCGCCAGGAGCGTCAGCATTTTGTACTTGCGCTTTCTGTTGGTCAGGTCTTCCGTGGGCGGCCGCGGCAAACAGGCCAGCCGCAGGACGCGGCGCACTGCGGCAATTTGGCCCACCAGAAAGCCGTGGGTTCTGCAGCCTTCGGAGCGCTCCACTGCGGCGTCCGCCAGCTCCATGATTTCTTGGCCCGTGCAGGTCCTTTCCACGTCGAGGTCGCGGGGAATGAGCGCCAGCGTGGCCACGCCCAGCGTCAGAATCCGCAGCACCGCCCACGTCAGCTGCAGCATGCTGTCCGTGCTCAGGACATTCATCAGACTCCTGCACAGCTTCGAAGACTCTCTCATCCAAGTGAACAAACTCACGACTTTGGTTCTTTCCGCGCTCGGCATGTTCCGCCCGTTCCACAAGTCCAGCTTCCGCTCATCATCCGACTCCTGCTGCTCGTGAACGTTGAAGGCGGCCTGGCCGAACATCAACTTCTCGGCCTCCTCCAGATTCAAACCTTCGAAGGAGACGAAGCTCTTCAAGTGCAGCCAGTTGCTTTTGCGGCGGAGCCTCTCCTTGGCTGCAGCAGCTTCTGCTGCGCGGTGCTGCTGCTGCGCCCCGCCGTGCGGGGAAGCAGCACTGGAAGAAGAGCTGCTTGAAGCCCTCTGCGGCCACGAGCTGCGCTGCAACGGCCCCTCATTGTACGAGCTTGTGCTCGGGCCTGCAACTTCCACTTCCTCTGCGGGGTAAGGCTCGGGCCTCGGCCATCCCGCGCTGCTGTGGGGCAGCACCCCCAGCCCCGCCTCCGCAGGCCTTTCCTCCCGGCCCTCCTGTCTCTGGGGACTCTCAGAATGCGGATCTCCCTCATGATCAGCCCACACGCCACTGTCTTCCTCTTCGCGTTCTCCCCCGCCAACAGCCCAGTGACAGGAGCGCCGCCGGTCGCCCGCCAGCGATCTGCCAAGCACTGACGCCTTGGGGCTCGCTTGTAGGGAAAAAAAACAGCTCAAGAGCGCGTAAGTGAGGGCCAAGCTGCTCAGGGTGACTGCCAGGAAGGGCCCGTAAGACAGAAAAAACTTGGAGCTCTTGAACGAGCGCCGAAACTTGAGCGAAGCTTCTCCGGGAGGAACAGCCCTAGTGGCAGCCCCCGACTCTGCCTCGTGATCGGCGGCCCCAGGGAAAGAGCGCTGGGCCTCCTGCACTTGAGTCGCTGCGGAGATCTTCATTGGCCGTAGGTTTAGATCCTCAGTGGCAGACAGTCGCATGCATTGCTCTTCTGGGAACTCGTTGGGCAGCTGCGCAAGGGCTTCTCCAGAGCACTTCGCTCACTCCATCTCCAAGCTGTGCACATATATTCATGGGCTTGAGGTGGGCCCGAAACAAAGTTTTCCCAAGTTCAAAGCCAAACCAACGGCACAGCGGCTTCTCGTCGCCGGAGAATCATTTATGTCTCCAGAAACCGTTGCCGACTTCGTGGAACACTGACAGACGCCACAGCACCAAATTCGCCACGCAAAATGTCCAAATGATGTATTACTCAGATTAAAAGGTGAAAACCCGTGGAAGCAGAAAGGCGATGGCGACATACAGTCCGTTGCAGGTAAACATAACCGCGTACAGGCAAGAAACGCACAGCGGACTCGGTGTTGCTGCTTGGGCGCCCAAGAGCCACTATAATGCTAAAAGACAAACAAATGTTTATTTACATTCAATACAAAAATCGCTTACGGTGTCTTAAAGGGCGGCGTGTCGATAAGGGACCTCACCGGGCTCGCTGCGATTCCTGGGGTTTAATTACTGGCTTGAGGGTTTGTTATGCAATTGTATGGTGCTTCGCCTCGTCCAATATTGAAAACATACGCATAAATTCCTTCTCCAGATAAAGCGTTGTCAAGTCCCTAACAACTGTACTTCTGTCGTGGCCCAAAATCAACTCAGACTGTTGAAAACTCGTTGCACGGTACACGCAGTGCTGTTCACCTCAGATTTTCTGTTTCAGCCACTGTTTTGAGTGCGCTCCTTGTTAAAGGCATGAGTTCAGAAGCTTAAAATCATCAAGACAAGCTTTAAAGGAAGTTTTTACAGTCTTTGTTCATGTTTCGAATTGAATTGCCCGAATTTGGCTACCAGAGCGACGTGAATAGTAATTTCTGAAAACCGGGAGGCTGTATGGACCCACAGGAGCTGACAGCACGAAACGTCATCAGAAATATGAAGCAACTCGCCGCCGAGTGCATGCTTTAATTAACTACGATGTAATGTTCTACAGAATCAATGCTCCGTGAATCGATTAGCAGAGATAGCACACGGAAATCAGGCATCTTACCTAGCACCAAAATGGCTCGGCAGCTTTAAACGGGACTTTGTTCCGCCGTGGGGTTGTATTCTGTTTCCTTTTTATGCATAGCCAATTCTTCTCTTATCTTCTGAGCAAGATTAGGACGAGCAAAAAAGCCGTGTTTAAATGGTGAGCAGATGAATCGAGGACCTTGGAACGGTCGAGTGCACCAGCACTAGCATAGAGCCCGACTGGATCTACTACTCTCTACTAAACTTTCTCCTACACAAAAAAAACGACTTAAAGCGTTAGATTATTGGAAAGGATCGATGTACGATAGATGAGGGCTCTAAAGGGAGAGTATATTGAAATGGTCTCTCTTGCAAAGGCCGGACCCCGCAGCGTACAGCTGCTGGGGCGATGACAGCCCCAATCCCTGATCCTGTCCACACAGCTCGATAAAAATAAACTCCCTCACGAAACTGCATTAAAGTTTTTTATTGAATGCGCTCAGGTCCATTTGTAGTCCCCCCTAGAGCACTATCAGCGGCATGTTTCTCAGCAACCACCGCCAGTATACAGCCTTCTCTACTATTTTCCAATACCCAGTTGGTATCCCACTGACTCTCAAACTGTTACAGCCTTTCAATTTTTCATACGCGTAGAGAGACGACCAGCGCTGCGGGATGCACCATCAGCTTTGGGGTTGGGGGAAACTCAGCAAGCGCCACGGCTGCGTGTCAACAAACCGGCTGCATGCAATTCATAGCCAAAGGGATACTTCGTACGGATAAAAATTGTTGTGAGAGCAAAACGCCTAAGATGGTGATGCTTCAGAGATGAAGTCAACTGCAACTTACGATTAGCTAGTTTGAAGAGGCGGTTTAAAGAGGCCAAAACCCAAAACTGCGCTCACAGCTGCCCATTGAGCTGCGAAACTGATGCACATGAGGTTGCAGCACAACTTGTGATGGCTGCAAGACAGCGCCTCCAGTGACACCAAGCTCGGAGGTGTAGATGGCCTCGTCGGGCGCTGGTGGCTTGTTAATAGGACATCTTCCGTTAGCATTATTATCATTTATTAGGGCTTTTTCTTCCAACTGCTTAATCTGCTGGCTGGATCTGCATGCGCGCTGGGAGGCTAGGCTTGTGACAGCTCCCACAGCGCCAGCTCTGCTATAGGCTATTAAGACACTGGCGATCTGGAATCTGATTTCCATGTACACCCCCGTTAGTACAGCATTTTGCTCCTCGAGAAGCTTGTCGTTCCTCTTCGAGAGAGGCCGGTGACTGCCAGCAGCAGCGCAACGGACAGCTGCAGTCGAGCAGAGTCCGTTGGGCTGTCGCTTGTGCCAGCACCTAGCCTCCAGAGTAGTGGCAAATCCGTGGGATGCAGCACAGGGGGTCGTGAGTAGCCTGCCGGCCAGTTGCATGCAACTGCACGGAAGGCGGTTGCTGAGAAACATGCGTGATACGTCTACTGCGGGGGATAGTGCAGGTTGACAGTGCTGGTGCTTTGGCCTGTTTTGGCTCACACACGAAGTTGAAGCATCACTGCAGCAAGTTTCTGGCTGAACTTGCTCGCCTTGCTTAGATGACAGCTTCAAGGTGGTAAGGTGCTACTAGAGGGGCATGGTTGGGGCATAAGAGGCTTGTTTGATATCTTTTTCAAGTTCAACAAAAACCACAACACAAAAAAGAGTAATGGCCGTGAGCGGCTGGGAGCAACTGAGCAATGTATTACTGCGGAGTTGGGGCACACCATATTGCTGGCACAAAAAATTCCGCAAATAATGCCTCACCCACTGAATGCTAAGTGCAACTGTGAAAGCACGAAAAATAGTGCATCTGACATGCTTTCTGACACTAGATCATGCCGGATGGCTCGTATCTTGAAGTCGCTGGATAGGTCACGTCGAGT